GATGGGAAGGAAAAAGTTGGGTCGAGTGAAGTACTTATTCTCTTTCATAAAGAAATTAGTTCTGTCGCAGAGGAAGAAGTAAAACATAATTAACGACATTTTGGCCAAACATGTTATCAACTCGTAGTAGGACTTCACGTCCTCCTCAGAGACGACAGCAGGTCGACTACCGGTCGGCTCGTCGTCCATGTCTTCGTTCACCAATAGATGCCATTTGTATGACTTCGCGGAGAACTTCCGGTGACAGAAGATAACGATTGCGACCACAATGAAGAGCGCGAACACAACGAACACAATTAGTTGAAGTGTTGTAATCACTTCCGGGTCACTACAACAGGTGCCGTCATTATAGTTCATTTGATCGTTACAATACATGTTCAACAGTATCTGAATCGCGTAATTCAGCGCCTTTGGGCTCATGTGGAGGCCATCGTCGGTCGGATTACTGGAGTCCGAGTTATATCCCTGAGCGACGAGTCGAGCCGAGCCCCAGATGTGTACGTTATTGGATTGGCTGTACTTCAGTATCTCCATCGCCGCCTTGTTGTAGGCGTCGATCTGTTCGTTAGTGATCATAGCTCTGTCCGGTTTGAGCTTTTCGGCCGACACCGGGTCCTGAAGTGTCCACAGTATTTGAGTGGAAGCACTCATTTTGTCCAAATTGGGCACAAGTAGTGTCAGATTCTTGCGGTAATACTCGAGCGCTTTAAGGCTGGCGTTACTCGATTTGATGGAATGAGTGGCCGAACCCATCACTATTAGGTTCGGCCGTTCGGACGCGTCTTTCGCCGCCAAATGTCGGATCACGTCAGCCATCGAATCGTTGACAATCGGGTGCCACAGGAACTGTATCTCGAGTCTCAGGTCGCGCTCCTTGTACTCCAAGTCGTGGTGAGCGGCGAACTCGCTATTGATTAGGTTCTCGTTGGGACTGCAGGTCTTGATGAACGCGTAATACAGTTGTCTGATCCGGGAATCGCCCAAAAACACTATGTTATTCTTTCCGCCCCAATAAGCGATATATCGTAAGCACATCCGCGTATCACTTCATAAATCAATACAACCATTAGTTTTACAAACCATTAACAAAATACAATCACAAAAATGCATACATTTTATTGTATGTATGAATCATACATCCGTACGGTTGCCAAACACTGTAAGCGCCGAACCCGTGGAAACTGCCGTCACTTAACAGCCATTTACAAGACTTTATGCCTTCACATTAGACACGAGAGAGAGAGAGAGAGAGA